GAGTCGAAGCGGACGAAAGAGATGAGAGAGAGAGAAGCGGCGAGATTTATGGTTCTTCGCCGCAATCGCCGAGGTAAAGATATTTTTACCTGTACGTGAACAATTACAAAAAAAAACCACAACTCAGCCGTTACTTACAATAAGTCATAATATAACTCAGCCGTAATGTACCATAACTCAGCCGCAATGTGTCATAACTCAACCGTAAACGACGTTTCGTATTTCCCTGTTTTTTTGTCGGAAAACGAAAAGTCTCCACCCAAGTTGAGAAGAAATGCGACAGCAACGACGACGAGAAAGAGAGACACACCAATTATAGGATAAGTGGCCAGAAGAGACGAGAAAAATAAGCGGCGAGAGTTAGGGTTCTTCGTCGGCTTCAAGAGAGAAAGAACAATTTTTTTCTTATTCTTTTTAGTCTTCTGCCTTTTCCTTGGCCTATTCCGATCTGACATAGACACCTTTTTTTGCAACAAATGAAACAAAACTCGAGAATGGGATATGAGATTTCGATATAGTGGCAAAATAACAAGACAGTAATGAGATTACGAGTTAGTGCCATAGGTTTAACGTTCACTCTCTTCGTCTTCATTATTGTCATCTTCAAAGCAACTCTCACCATGAACAGAACCACATGTGAGGACCAAGAACTCTTTTCTTTTCTTAGAACGTTGGATGTACGCAATTTGAGAAGAAATACGATAGGAATGACGACAAGAGAGAGACTCGTTGAGAATCGAAACGGCCAAAAGAGATGAGAGAGAGAGAAGCAGCGAGAATTAGAGTTCTTCGCCGGAATCGCCGAGGTAGAAATATTTTCGCCATAACTCAGCCGTAACTTACAATAAGTCATAATATAACTCAGCCGTAATGTACCATAACTCAGCCGCAATGTGTCATAACTCAGCCATAATGTACCATAACTCAGCCGTAAACGACGTTTCGTATTTCCCTGTTATTTTTGTCAGAAAACGAAAAGTCTCCATCCAAGTTGAGAAGAAATGCGACAATAATAACGACGAGAAAGAGAGAGACACACTGATAATAGGATAAGCGGCCGGAAGAAACGAGAAAGAAAAGCGGCGAGAGTTAGGGTTCTTCGTTGGCTTCGATAGAGAAAAAACAGTTTTTTTTTTGTTTGTGAATAGTGACGAAAATGTTCAGTTTCTTCCTCTTTTATCATTAAAGACAGAATAATGATGTGGCAATTTCAGATATGACGTGGCATGTCGAATCTGACGTGGCAATTTTTAAGTGAAAACAGACCAAGGGTGTTTATTGTAATTACACCCATCTCACTAAACATCTAAGGAATAAAAAAAAATTGGCTGTTTAAGGAATAAACATACAATTGTGGTCTATCTAAGTAATTCTCCCTAAAAAAAAAATTAATTTTATTTTCCCATCCAAATAATCCCAAATTCCCCAGTTATTAGGCTTTGATAATTTGAGATCCGATTTCAGATCTTGTGATTGTTTTTTTTTTTTCTGTACACCACAATTTTATTAATGAAAAAAAAAACAGAATTAGCCACCATTACAGGAGGAAGACAGCATAAGACCTGCTACAAAGTACACATCACTAAAGGCTGAAGAGACTGCAAACACATAGGAAGTACAATAGATTAATACAAGAAACAAAGAGATAAACCGGAGGTGAAGAAAGCTGAGAACACGAAAAATTCTTCCTGGCTTAACGGTGACTTCAAGTGACTTCCAAGGTTTTGTAAAGAGCTGAGAATCCAACGACAAGTGCAAAACCAAAATGTATTCCTTCCATGCCAACAAGAGGGTGTTCTTCCGTAAAGAGGTAGTCTTCGCCATGATATCTTCTGCTTCCCATGTAAGGGTGCTAGAACGATAAGTGATAGAGCTCTCCCGCAATGGAACTTCAAGGGTTTTAGAAGAAATCATATCCAAACAAGATGCGACATCGAGTCCACCAACACCAAAAAAGCTCTTATTCCCTGCAAATAAATTGTAAGATTCAATTTCAATACTCGACAGTTATAGATTCAATTTGAGTTTGTACAACTGGTTCAGTTGAGTAACTCTTAGACATAAATTTATCTTTTTTGTCGATATGGCTTCAAATACTAAATATGAAAAAAAGCCCAAGCCTCGAACTCAAGTGAAACCTCCTTTACCCGAGCAATAGTAAAGGTTCATGAAATTCTAAAGAGGTGTAGGTGTGACGAAGGAATCATTGAAAATATCTATATACGATCATACAATCCATATTAAGTTGTACCAAGTTTTACGAAGTTGTATTTTTTAGTTTAAAAAAATTTTAAGTTACAAAATCAACATAGTTATACCAAGTTATATATAGTTATACACGGTTAAGAGAATTATTGTTGAATCCCCATTAGACGGCTTTGTTTCTTCATAATCAACTGGAATTGGTGACTACTGTTCTTCTTCATCGAAAACTTATACTGCATCTGAAAGATTGTGGTCTCCAAGTTCGCTCGGATTATTTGTAAAAACCTATAAACCAATCAATTTCCTCATCAAAAACTTACAATCTACATTTAGGTGTACCAAGTATTACCAAGTTGTATCTTTTGGTTTGAGTATTTTTTTTTTTTTAAAACGGGAATAATTGAACCAAGTAATACTTAGTTGTGCACGGTTTTGAGAACAAAATTTCTTAAATTTAAATCAAAAAGAACAAATCGATATGAAGTTATACAAATTTGGAGTTGTTCATAACTATATCCATATATGAGGAAAAGACACAGTTGGGTTTCTATATTGTGCGAAAGAGAAGAAGATTTGAAATCCAGAAATTCAAGAAAAAAAATTGTTAATTGCTTAAGATAAATTCAACCCAGAAACAATGGGTTCGTGTAATTAAAGAACCAATTAGATTGGTTGGGTCGTACATACTATATACTTTTAAGGGTTATGAAGTATTTCTTCTATTTTCTGATTTAAAATAAATAAAAACTAAATTAGTTTTTAGAAAAAGATTATTTGAGATTTTTTTTGGGGAATATTATCTATAATGCCAGTTTTACACCCAAAAAAATTGGAACTACCAGTTTTCTTTTGGTATTCTATGGAGTGCCATACACAGTAAAAAGGTTGTGGGAAAATAGACGAAAATACCCTCTACCAAAGGGACATCATTTTGCACGGTTTTCAAAAACTTGATGGGATGAGACATTATTTTCGACAGTTATAAGGCGCATTAATTGGTGATAAGGTAAGCTATTACCCATAGGACTATTGATTTTTTTTTGTATTTAGATAGCAAATCAAAAACGAAAAAGAAAGTTTTTTTTACACACCCAGTTGTCCACCATCCTCTTATCTGGTTCTACACACCCCAGTTGTCCACCATCCAAGCTGCTACCATGGACTTGTTACTCATATTGTCCACCCAGATTAGTGAAAATCATACTTTCATCACCTACTATTCTACTCGTCTATGGACAACTGATGCTCGAATGTGTCATGAATATTTGTCCATGATTTTTTCATCGGATTTGGTCCACCGATCAGGTCCACTAAATCTAGTCCATCAGATCTAGTCTATCGATCTACCAGATCTGGTCCGTTGAGAGACAAATGCAAAATTTGGCTAATAGATCTGGTCCACCGGGTGTAACACACATCTTCAAATGAAACATCTTTACTCATCCACAACAGAAGCAGGTAGATCAAAATAGATGTATTGAAATAATTTTAAAATCAAAAAAATTATTAGTGGATAATTACAAAATAATGTAGAAGAAGAAGAAGATATATAAACAAAAAGAAATACAAACAAAAAAGTGTTGAGAAATAAAAAAAGGTGAGTGAAATGAGAGAGAAAAAGAAATAAAAAAGCTTTTTAAAATAAGGGCAAAATTGTCTTTCTTGCGGTTGAATGTGGCAGGCGAGAGAAGCCAATTAAGAAAGTGGCATTCCATACAATTTTTGTCACTGTTCATGTCAATGTAGACAATTTTCTCATTTTTTTGGTGGCTTGGATGCTCCTGAGAATTTGATTCGATCGGCCCTAAGTGGAAGGCAATTAACAAGGTTAAGTGGCATAGCCTGCACATGCTCGTGTGGACTGTTTGCATGTAGCATAAGTGTTTTCTTATATTAGTGTATGTTTGATGCTAATTATGATGACTCAATCTCGATCCGTGACATAGATGAGTCTAGCTAGAATGACCCAACTAAATACAGAATAGTGTTTTTCCAATTATGAAATAGAGCCCAAGAAAAGCTTGTAAAAATTAACTCCTACAGAAAATAATGAACGGAACAAGCATTGTATGTGTTTAAATAATTTGTCAACAGCTTTTTAAGATCAACTCAAAGCCAATTCGAAAGAATATTCTTAAGAGAAATTCTTTTAAATATCGTTAAACATAGTTTTAATTCCTAACTTACCATTTATTACTTATTTTTCCATTAATATTGTCGTTAATTCAACAAAAAACCTATTATATATCTGTGTTATAAACACTTAATTTGTTACATGCTCATCATTTGTTTAACTTCGTCGTCGCTCGCAACCCGGAATCTCCGACGAGTTCAGACAATTCCGTCTATCATCGCTCACAAGCACAAATCTCGGACGAGTTCAGACGGCTCCGACTTTCTTCGATATCTTTGGTCTCCGACGTCGTTAGATAGTTTGACACCTCCTTGCTTTCATCGACAATGGCGTCAACGGTCTCTTAACTCACCAGTTCACCATCAGATCTGAATGATCTCAAAGCATCAATGCAATGGAATGAAAATTAGATATGTTTCTTAGTTCGCTTCAACCTCTAATGAAATCAAGAGAAATAGGAGGTCCATTCATCATCTTTCATCCAATTATCAAGATCAACACTCTCATGTACCATTTTATAACTCGGAATCTAAACGTAGAGCAGTACGGAACTAGTGTGCATGATAGTGTGGTACGAAATATATCAAATTTTTATGTCTGAGGGTTTTGTATCTCTATATGTGCTCATAATAAGAATTGGTAGATGTAAATTTATAGCAATGTTTTTCCTTTGAGGAATTTCAATGTCCAACTCGTGCATGCGTATTGTGCGGACTTAGCAGATGTCAACATAAAATATGTTGCATAATGTCAACATCAAATATGTTGCATACAAAGAATTTGATATAATATTATTGGGAAAAAACCAGTTGGTAAAAAGTAAGAAAGTTCTTTGTTGTCGTCTATTTCGATGTCTTTGACTTCTTCGATTTATAGTTCATATGTTATAGAGCTTGTTGATACAAGGATTTTTAATCTTGTATGTTCAATCTCCTCAGTGGAAAGGGTTTATTGATCCAAATAAGTGCGAAAGTAAACAATCAGAATTGTAACATGAACTAAAATGTCAAGCCAATTTTGTGAAGTTTCTAATAATCCTAAGTGCAACTGAATTTAAACAAGGTGAAACTATAGAATATAAGCTAAGCACCCAAAAACTAACATAAAATGAAATGAAACGTAGTTTAAACTAGTTAAAAATCAAAAGAGTAAAGCTCTCAAGGATAACCGGTTATCGATTTAGTGGAGTCTTTTAATCTAAGTAGATGCCAAACAAACTCGATTAAGCTATCCCTAGACAGTGAACTTCATAAACTATCCAATCTAGTTCCTTGGCATAAACTATCAAATTAACCTAATCACATCTAAAGTCAAATCCCTTTGATGAATTATGATCAAGCAAGCATTAAATTCTAAATCATTAATGTCAATAATCCTCTTAGACATCTAATCGCTTAGGCTAAAAATGTAAATGTTTGGTACTAGCTGTTTCAGACATTTCATCAAACACACTTTTGGTGCTGAAATGTCTAAGACCTAATTCCAAATGATCATAATGAAACTAGCTAATAAGACATTTTTCCACAACATAAACCACTCAATACTAAGTTTAGGCATCCTAATAGACTAAGATTCTCCATATAATCTATACATCCTTAAGAACCCTAATCACTACTTAAAACCCATAAAATATGATGAAGAACACAAACCTAGAAAAATATTTAAATAGAAATATTTATATAGATCAAGATCTAAGGATCAATATTTTACAAAGAAGCAAGTGCAAGTTCTTAACAACTTAAAACATATTTGGAGTACAAGTTTCTAGAAGTTTGGTGGCTAAAAGCCTTATACCTTAGTTATAAGCAAGATCCTTCTAAGTGACAAATGTGCTATCTATATGAAAGAAGGAAAACCTCAAGTCACTAATAGGTAGTGTAGTTCATTGTGTGCTTCGGTCGAGCATCAGTCTTCACTCCAATCAAGCGATCACATACTGAATCGTTTGATTCAT